CCGTCTCAAAAAAAAAAAAAAAAATTAGTACTCCTGAGTTGGTACAGTATCTAAGCGGAGTGTTTTGGAAAGAGTTAAGGGGCTGTGGCAAACACCCTCTCCACCGTCATGGCCCGGCATCAGAATGTTCGAGGCTTAGACTACGATGAAGATTTTGAAGTTGATGATCTCTATGGCCAGTCTGTAGAGGATGATTATTGTATTTCACCATCAACAGCTGCTCAGTTTGTTTATTCACGGGGTGACAAACCTTCCGTTGAGCCTGTAGAAGAATATGATCATGAAGATCTGAAAGAATCTTCCAATTCTGTTTCGAACCACCAGCTCAGTGGATTTGATCAAGCTCATCTTTATTCATTCCTTGATCAAATGAGAGAAGGTACTTGGAGATGCTGTGCCGGATGAAATATTAATTGAAGCAGTTCTGAGGAACAAGTCTGACGTGCCTTTGTCCAAGCCTTTGTCAGGGCTCTGGATTAGCCTGCAGAATTTGAAGGGCGAGAATGAGGGGACAGTATCTACAGGAAAGACAACAAAAGGTAAGGAGTCTTATTTTCCTCTTCTGAAGTTTCAGCTAATAATGTTCAAAGTTCTTATCCTCAGTCAGCAAATCATTTGGATTATTGTAGCAAGCCCTTTGATTTTTCTAGCTCAGTAGGAAAATACGGATTATCTCATAATTCTTCAGTTCCAAGTCACTGTTTACTCCATAGGAAAAAGAAACTTGACAGACTTAAAAGGGAGAAGAAACTGGAATTATGTAAGTTAACAAGAGAACTTTCACTAGCTGACCTAATTCATGATATGTCAAGAGATTCCTGTGACAGTCAGCCATCAGTCAGATTATCATCTACAGTCTGGAAAGTCTACTTTCAAAGAACCTAGATGCTGATCTGTTGAGACCTCATGCATCCGAATGTGTTTCCAAAGATGATTCTGCATTCAAAGAAATGCCAGATTTAAAGGCCATAATGATAAAGAGCACAACACCGAGTAATTCTTTATATATTCAAAATAATTCACTCTCTGATTTTCAAAACATTCCAGTACAGGGCAATTTAGGAAGTTCAAATAATCCTTTGTGCTTAACTAGCTCATTGGAAAATATGACTGTTGATAATTTAAATGCTAGTAAAGAAACTGAAGTTGGAAGTGTTTCTTTAGTTGAACAAAGTGCCAAGAATTACATTTTTAAAAATGATAATTTGCAGTTTTCTCAGTGTGAAAGTCCATTCCTAACTGAACTGTTTCAGGAACACAAAGAAAACAATATAAGCCAATGCTTTACTTTGTCTGACCTTTGTAACCAGTCATCTGCCAGTTTCACAGATCTAAGTTTGGGATCCTTTCCCCTGTCACAATTAGCAAATTGCTGTCAGTCTTCACCCGGAATATCAGAATTAACAGGATCTCTGTTGTCACTGGCATTTCCTAAAGCTTCTCACAAGAGACCTTGAGAATTTGTCACTTTCTGAATTGATTGCAGAAATGATTGATGTATACAACTCTCAGATTAAGAAAGAGTCGTTTGAGGTCAGTTTGTCTGAAGAGAGGTCTCCTAGAATAGATTCAAATATTGATCTCAGTGTCCTTATAAAAAAACCCAGATTTTGTTTCAAAGCCTATAGTAGACCAACCCATTGCTCCATCGTCACGAACTGAAGTTCTAAGTTCAAAGCTAGGGAAGAATTCCAATTTTGCTAAGGATAATAAGAAAAACAATAAAGGCTGTCTGACTAGGAAACCACCTTTTTCTCTGTCTTAGACCAAGGCCCTTGCTGCTAGACCTTCAGCTTTTCCCTCAACACTGTGTCTTTGTCACCCACTGAAAAGCTGCAAGTGATGCACCCTTGACTTCTGTAAGACTTTTCTTTATGGTAGACAAGTTCAAGATGTAAAGGACAAAGAAATAAGTCCTCTTGTAGCGATAACACCATTGACTTCAAATCAGCATCACCTGATGACATTGTAAAAGCTAATCAAAAAGAGCATTTACTAGAGAATAGTAACGAAAGGAAAACTTGATTGCTGTTGTAGAGCTTTTTATTTTTAATTAAAGTCTTCAGAGAATCACTTTATATGATGGGATTCAAATTGTGATTTTCACCAAAGTTGTTGTAGGTCGGTTGATTAGTTGATACGTATTTTTGCACTGAATTTTTTTTAACTATGTCTTCTTTCGGTGATAACTGACTTTATTTAAGTTGGTAACCTATACTGAGTATATGTTTACAAAGTGGATATGGAAATTTGATGTTGTGAAATCAGACCTCAGATATTTTTGTTTGAAGCATTCCACTTCCTATGTTTTTTATGATGAAGTATTTTTTTCTATGAAATATTTTGTGCTTTGTTCATCAATGAAAATGCCAGGACTTGGAATTTTAATCGTTTAGTGTGAAGATTATTCTTATGTGGCACAGCATAGTTGAGACATTATATTTTAAAATATAGTATAATTCCTAGTTTCATTATTTTTGTGTAGATAAATACTAAAATTTTTCTATTAGAAAATCTTAAAATTCCTGACTTTTGAGAGTACTGTGGAGATTGTTGAAATACATTTTTAATGATAATAAAATGAAAATCTTTTAAGGGACCATGTAAATATAGAAGTTGGATTTTTATGTGAATTATTTTTATACATTTTTAAAAACCATTTGTCCTAAATATACACTTTAAAATAAATATATAAAAAGTATAAACAAAAAATTAGTACTCCTCAACCAGACATGGTGGGCATACATCTGTAGTCCCAGCTACTCAGAAGGATAAGGCAGGAGGATTGCTTGAGCCCAGGAATTGAAGGCTGCAGTGAGCTATGATCATACCATTGCCCTCCAGCCTGGGTAACAGAGCAAGACACTGTCTCAAAAAAAAAAAAAAAAGAAAGAAAAAGAAAAACAGAAAAAAAAATAGCACCCCTTAGAAGAACATAATAGGATCCAAAACTCTACATATATCATACATGATATCCAGCATACAACCCCAAATTCCTAAACAGGAAGAAACAGAATAGCTTAACCATACTTAAGAGAAAAGGCAATCATGGAAACAGATCCTAAGATTACCCAGATGTTGGAATTAACAGATGAGGGTTTTAAAGTTGCTATTAATAACTAAGCTCAAGGAAGTAAAAGAAAATATGCTCATAATAAATGAAAAAAAGAAAACTTCAAGAAATAAAATTCTAAAATGGAATTTCTAGAACTGCACATCAGAAATAAAAAATTCACCAGATGGGCTTAACAGCAGATTGGAGGTGAGAAAAGACTTGTCTAAGAAGATACTCAAAGTCTCATCTGGCCAACCTTGTGTATCTAGCCACCATTGGATTTCTTTCTGAGAGCCAAGGGAATTTTCCATTGCAGCACCATAGCTGAGGCACTAGGTGAGGGTGGTGGTTAGAATTTGACAGAAAGAAAGAGTCATAGATGAATTATTTCAGTAAAGTGTAGCAGAACACATAACTTATTTGTGAAGATATCACAATAATAGGTTTTAAGCCCTAAAAGAGATATTGGAGATTTTTCATTTCCAGCCAAATGGTGCCAATTCATCAGGCAGTCCTGGGCATAGAAGGACTATGACTTTATCCCTCTCTGCCAGGATAAACTTGGGGAGAACAGGGCACCCCAGACCTTCCCACTCTTGCTGGCAAAGCAGTGGAAGCAAACGCCTGCCCCTTCACTCTCCTAAGACTTGAATATTCTCTCTGTCCAGAGCTGCTGCGCCATTAGCTGGCCAGGGCCAGGAGTGGCCTGGCTGAAAGAATGGCTGAATCAGAGAGGCCAGTCGGTCCCATTCCTCCAGAGGGTTCTTCCCTGGTCTTCACAGACCCCACACCTTCACCCCCTGGGCCATGTTTCTGCACTATCCTGTCCAAAGGTCCATGGAGCACCTTCTAGTACAACCCCAGAGTTTACCTATCACAGAGGACAGCCAAGACCACTGCTGGTCCTGGGCATGCTCCCCCAGGAAGGCAGGTCTTCAGGCTGCTTGTCTCTCTGGGGTTCCTTCCAAGGACACAGCACTACTCCCCACGGCCAAGGCTTTCCCTAGGATCCCACTGTCAAGCAAGGGATGATGTCCTCATGGATTCCTCATTCTCTATTTACATTATTATTTTCTTCTGGAGGAAAATGGGAGCGAATGAGTGTATATTGAGTACCAAGTAGGAACCACGCACTGCTTGGAGCTTCCCATGCCTTAGCTCATGGGGCTCCCAGCTGGGGATAAGGGCTCTTGTTCCTAATATACAGTGCAGAAACGAGCTTTAATGTGGGTCAGGCGACATCCCCAGGGCCACATGGAACCTCCTGGTGGGACTGGGCCCAGACCCAGGCTTCTGTGGTCCCTGAACTTGCTCACATGCTTGTGGAACTCAGCCACTGCCCAGCCAAAGTCCTTTTTTTCTTTTCTTTTCTTGTTGATAAATAGAAACTAGGCCTCACTTTGTTGCCCAGGCTGATCTTGAACTCCTGGCCTAAGTGATCCGTCCGCCTCAGCCTCCTAAAGTGCTGAGATTACAGGCATGAGCCACCATGCCTGGCCCCAACCAGAGACATTTCTACCAGCGGTGTCACAAGAACACCTGCATCTTCTAGAACCAAATATTGAACTCCTGAGCACCATTTTCTCGTGCTTTGACCATGGAACTTCCCCTTCCTCTTTTCCTCTGTGCCCCAGTCTAACCTCCGCAGTTCTGGAATTGGGTCTCCCACTGGCCGCACTGGGAGGAGGGACCGTGTCTACTTCATCACCACATTACCTGAAACACCTGGCAGGCGCTGAGTCAGTATCGCTGAGTAAATACATGTTTCACAGGCCCCAGTCCTGATTGATTGGCACCTAGCACCCAGCTTGTAAAGCCAACACCAACTCCATCCCAACCCATCAGAAAAGACCAGTGCTGTCAACCGGACCTGACTCACCGAGCCCATGCACGCGGTCATGGCCGGTGTGAGTGAGGCCTTGACATGCGTCTCTCTGACTGACAGGGAAGGAGAGGCTTGCTGCTTGCCTTGGAGTTCCTGTCCAGGAAGCTGCCCAGTTTTTGGAGAGTTTTTTGCAGAAGTACAAGAAAATCAAGGACTTTGCCCGAGCGGCTATTGCCCAGTGTCACCAGACAGGTGAGTTGGCCACAACCAGAGCTTCCTGCTTCCTGTCCACCCTCTGTGGGAGGATGGGGGGACAGCTGGGTGGGTGGTGTGCGGGCGGGCCCTGGGTCCTGAGGTTGGTTTTGGGGCCTGGGTGAATCCTCAGCTGTTGTTGGACAAATAGGGCTGAAGCTTCCACACGAGAAGGGACAAGAGTCTGGGCGGCTTGAAGCAACACAGTGAACATACTTGAGTGACTAGATGGTGGATGGGCAGATAGGTAAAAACAGATACAAGCCTGCACCTGGAAAGGGAAAACATGGATTCTTGTGAAAAGCACTGGTATATTTACAAATATCACCACAATTAGGTCACAAAGGAAACCCAAATAAATTTCAAAGAATATCAAGTAGAACATTCTGTGACCACAGTGCAATGAAAAGGTGTTTTAATACATGTATGTCTGAGTGTGTGTAGCCATCCTTCCACCTACCTATTTGGAAATTGATTATACTCCTAATAATTTAGGATTAAAAAAAGAAATCCTAAGAAAATGACAAAAAATGTTAGAAATAAATTACAGTAAAAGTATCTCATCAGAAACTGGGATGTGGCTAAGCTGACGCCTCACTTAGAAGCAAAGGAATCTTTTAAAGGAGTATTTTTTAAAGAAAGAGAAAGTTGTGGGCATAAATGAGTTGTGTTCTACACAAGAAATCTGGAAACGAGCAGCAGAGAAAAAAGGGAAGAAATCAGTGGGAGAGCAGAAATTAATGAAATAAACAGCAAAGAGGAGGATGAACGACAGACACAGGAAGAGCACTCACAGCACTCAGCACTCACTGGGAGTGAGGAAATCAGCCGGAGAGTTGGCCTCAGCAGGGCCAGCATCCTAGATGCTGTGACCTGTTGCCTCTGGGTGCTGGCAGTGTCTGTGTGCAGCTTTGTAGACCCTCTCCGTGAGCCTCTCTCAGTGACTCATTGATGACTTTTCACTCTGGGGTCTGTGCCCAAGCCCCATGAGCTCCGGCCAGCCCTGCGACAGGCTCCCCGTTGGTCTGACAGCAGACGGGCAGGTGGGCAGCATCTGTGCCACAGCCCATGCTAGCCTGGAAGGGGGGTCTCTCTGGCACCTGAGACACAAGCTGCTTGCTCCTATGGACCTTATAGTCCTTGGGGGATACGGTAAACCCACAAGCATCCAGACAAGGACAGGAAGGTGGCATCCAGGTGTGAGAGGAACAGAGCAGTCACAGAGGCCCCAAGGGAGCTGTGCCAGCCTCCACCTCATGGAACCGGTGACCTGAGCAGAGACAGGAAGGGCCAGGAGGAGTGCCAGCATGGGCAGGTGGGCCAGAGAACAGGTAGGGCTGGGTAAACCCAGACCACACATGACACTCCATGCAGAAAGAACCTGAGCATTGTCCTTCAAAAATGATTCCAATCACAATGTGGGAAAGAGATTTGAGGTGCAGTCAAAGCCACCCCTGAGAATAATCTAGAAGCATGCGGGCATTAACACAGTAACGGAGGAGGGGCGGAGGGAGAATGGCACGTAAGAGATGTCAAGGAGGCATCAAAAGCTAGGAGCCAGCTGGGATCTCACATGCCTCTCTGGCCACCAGCCCTCAGGGGTCAGTGCTCTCCATAGGGCACTTGGCCGCCCCCGCTGGAGCAGACTTACTCTGATGCTGGCCGTCCCAAGGCCCTGGGAGAGGCCCTGCAATGTGCTCATGTCCTTCTACATTTTGTAAACATGTCAAAAGAAAGTGTTTCAGCTACATTTGGCTAGGACTGCTGCCTCCACCACTCTGGCTTTCTCCACCACACACCTTTCTATGCCGGGTGGCATCAGTGGGGCCATAGCCACTTGAGCTGGCAACTCATTTAATGTGGATTTTCCTGCTGGTGCTCCTGTGGTCCCCTGCTTTCTCTGTGTGGTGTGGTGCTAGCCATCCTGGCACAAGAGTGGCTTCCAGGAGCACTGGTGCCATGCGAACATCACCACAAAAGGCCAGGGCCAGAGGGCATCTCAAGTATGAACAGGAGCTACAGGCACTGGCACTGGTAGCACTGGGTGGAGGAGAAATGAGGTTTGAAATGTATGGAGTCAGGAGTCTTCTGACTTAGGCCACAAGGAAGTCACTGGCTTCAGACTTTGCACCCACCAGGAAGAACCAGAAAACCCGGCAAAATACCTGGAGCAGCCGTTTCCAACACTAGCTAGTGGGTAGCGTATTGCTCTTGTATCTGAGAGAAAAGACGCCAGTGAGCTGAGTCCTGTGAACGCCCTGTGTCTGGAGGCACAGCCCATGTGTGGAGGGGGAGCCACGCAGACTGCAGAGTGGTCTCGATGAGTGGAGGAGACATGGATCCAGGCTGGGGAGGCAGATGCAGCTGTATTTTGCAAGTCAGAGTGTCAGAGAGGAGGGAGCTAGAGAGAGAGAGAGCTTTGTAAATCTTCAAGGAGTCCCCCTTGTGTCTGTTTTTGAACACTAAGATACACATACATTGAGTGAAATGCTACGGGACTAAGCACAAAAACTGCTGGGAGCAGTAAGCCGGATGATTCCAGAGTTCACATGGAATGAGGAGATGTTTGAGTTCTGACCATCCAGAGCAGAGAGTCCTTGTTAGACACCTGGGACATTCAGCAGAGGCCTCAGAAGGGTCACACTTTAGAGACAGGTCTGGACTAGCCCTAGATTACAACTATTCCAAATCCACTCTAACAAAGCTTAGAAGCAAACCTCAAAAGGATCAGGATGATTGGCAAGTAACTTAAGCCTGCCAAAACACCCTCAAAAGGAAGACAGCACACCCCAGGATTCAACAACGTAAAATTCACAGTGCCCAGCGTCCGGTCAAAACTCACTAGACCGACAAAACAGCAGGAGCGGAAAGGGACCAGGTCAGAGCAGGAGCTGTCTCGGGTCCTCATGCCAGTCCCTCTCAGGAATCCTGCGTGTTGCCCGGCATGTAGTAGGTACTCAATCCCTTGTCGCTTTCATGATTATTACAGATGTGGGAAATTCTTCTCATCCTCAGTCACAGGTGGAGGATTTATTTCCCACCCACACCTAGTTAAGGCAGAAGTCCTCACTGGTCAGGAATATAGTCATTTTCTTAAAAAGAGCCCCCAAACCGCATACACTTCAGGCCACACAAGATTGGATCTGCCCAGTGGAGGGTGTGGACCTGACTCAGACATGCCCCTCCTTGAGGATGTGGGCTGACCCCTTTCTCCGCCATTCCACACAGTTCAGAGTTGGCCTGGGCCCAAGGCCTCCACATGACTTTGCAAAAGCTGCCCTCCCTCATCCTATATGAGATCCAGGTGCAGCTAGAAGTCGGGAGAGTGCAGAGCTGAGAGTGCGGAGTGTGGCCAGGGGCAGTGGCTCCCCGCTGTAATCCCAGTGCTTTGGAGGCTGAGGTGGGTGGATCACCTGAAGTCAGGAGTTCAAGACCAGCCTGGTCAACATGGTGAAACCCCGTCTCTACTAAAAATACAGAAAATTAGCTGGGCATGGTGGCAGGTGCCTGTAATCCCAGCTACTCAGGAGGCTGAGGCAGAAGAATTGCTTGAACCCAGAAGGAGGAGGCTTCAATGAGCCAAGATCGCGCCACTACACTCCAGCCTGGGTGACAGAGTCTCACTCTGTCTCAAAAAAAAAAAAAAAAAAAAAAAAATGTGCAGACTGCCCAGCAGCAGCAGACCCTTGCTTTCCCACTGGAGAGCCCACTTGCCCCTGCGATAGACTCAAACGGCCCAGGGGAGGCTCGGAGTCTGCACTGCAGTGTCACTGTCTCTCTGGGGCCTCTGGACCTGGCCCAAGGGAGCTGCACCTGCTGCAGTGCCTGTTTCTGTCCTTCATCTGCTTTTGCTCTGTGTGACTCAGGCTATGTGGTGTCCATCATGGGCAGAAGGAGACCCCTGCCAAGGATTCACGCTCATGACCAGCAACTCCGGGCACAAGCAGAGCGACAGGCAGTGAACTTTGTGGTGCAAGGTACGGAAGCCTCTTACCCTGTAGTTCTGTGTCCATTTGCTTCTTAGGTTTTAACAGCCACAGGGCTGGTGGCACCCACTGATCACTGATGTGGTATTTCCTGCTCATCACAAACCTCCTTGCAGGAGCTTACACTACCCATGTCCTGCCTGGCAGTTACTGTCAGGGGCGTGAGGGGACACGGTCATCTTTGTAGCTAGGATGATTCCCCCAAGAGCTGGGCCCAGGCAGTACTGTTTCCCATATATCTCCGGTGGGAAACTGAGGCTTCAAGGGTTTAGCAGACCTGGAGCTCAGTCCCTTGGTGCTTGGCCTAGGCCCTTCCATCCTCTCCATGCATGCCTGGCAGGGGTGAGGCCTCCGGGAATAAGGCACCCAAAACCCAGGTGCCCTGCAGGAGCAAGAGGGCGGGAGGAGCAAGGATGAAGTGTCTGCCTGCTGTCGTCTGTGGCCTTGGCACTCAGACAGCTCAGAGCCGGCACCTCTGTGTGGAGGTGCCATGAGAGCTGTGGCGACAGTGCCAAATGCTGAGTGCACCATGAACCATGTGCCTTGGGACCTTAAGACAGCACCACGTGCCCCACAGGCTCCGCTGCTGACCTCTGCAAGCTGGCCATGATCCGTGTCTTCACTGCAGTGGCCACTTCCCGCACCTTGACGGCCAGGTCAGTGGGTGGCGGTCAGCCTGCCTGGGCCCCAGCCCTTCCCAGGGCTTGGATGGGAGGGTTAGTGTTCTGCGGGAAGACCCTCTGGGGGCTCACGATTCTGACTGCTCACCATCTCTGCTCATCGGGCCCCCAACCCCTCCCGAGGCTCTCAGCCTGTGGCAGGCCCTGGGGGCTACCCCCAGCAGGCATGCAGACAGCAACCAGCCATCTACCAGCATGGGGCGCAGATGAGGCCTTTCCAGACAGAAATGCTGTCTCCCCCAGACCCCTCCTCCTCAGGGTGTCTGCACAGCACAGGGGCACCCCTTGGGGCTGCCCACCCCAGAGGCAGGTGAACCCCTCAGCCCCTTGAGCAGGACCCTGGGAACTCCAAACTGTCCCCACTCCTACCTGTTGCTGCCACCAATGCCAGGCAGTGTGCCCCACGTCCAGCTCTGGCTGCAGCCCCGAGCCCAGAGCCAACGTTCAGACGTGCCTTGGTGGTGGAGGCTCCGCCGTGGCTGCCCCCCAGGCCACAGCTCTCTCAGGCCTCTGTCCCTGCCTCAGTTATTCCCCCAGGGCACATACCTGAAGAGTTTGGGCAGCCAGAGGACAAGCAGCCCTCACCCAACCACCTCCTCCTTGCCAACCAAGGCCCTGGGGTTGCTGGAAATGGCCACCCAGACACCTCCTCTCCTCGTTCTCCTTGTGGGGGATCCCCTCAGGAATCCCAGAGCCCCTTCTGGGAGCTGACCTGCCTCAGCCCCCCACAGTGTCAGCCCCCAGAAGGGCCTCTGGCACTCTGACCCACCATAGACGTTTTCCTACCCCCACCCTAAGGGCCCTCAAGCTCTTGGCGCCAGTCCCATGGGGGCAACCTCTGCAGACCAGGGTGCACCTGCCACTGCAGATGCATCCAGGAGGGGAGCCCAGGGTGGGCTGAGGCAGAGGCTTCTAGAGTATAAGATGTGGCTCAGGCCTCTCCAGTGTGCACACCCCTGACTTTGGGTTGTGGGTCCTGCCTACCCGTGGCCGCTCTTTTCCATCTCATCACAAACCTCCTTGCAGGAGCTTACACAAACCCATGTCCTGCCTACAACTTCACAACATCTGAGCTTACAACTTTCTCTTGGCTTTTGATGTTATTTTACATTCTCAAGGCATGATTTTTTGCCTTATTAGAGATCCCTCATCTCTCTTTAAAAGTGGCCTCCTGGCCGGGCGCAGTGGCTCAAGCCTGTAATCCCAGCACTTTGGGAGGCTGAGACGGGTGGATCACGAGGTCAGGAGATCGAGACCATCCTGGCTAACACGATGAAACCCCGTCTCTACTAAAAAATACAAAAAACTAGCCGGGTGATGTGGCGGGCGCCTATAGTCCCAGCTACTCGGGAGGCTGAGGCGGGAGAATGGCGTGAACCCGGGAGGCGGAGCTTGCAGTGAGCTGAGATCCGGCCACTGCACTCCAGCCTGGGCGACAGAGCGAGACTCCGTCTCAAAAAAAAAAAAAAAAAAAAAAGTGGCCTCCTTATGTCTTCATGAACTCCCTCCTGTCACTGTGGCTTTCAAGCCTGTGCTGTTCCAGTGATTTCAGTGACTTTGTGCAGAACTGTGTCCCCAGCAATGGCCCTGCCCAGGCCAATGTGTGACACCCAGCAATGGAGAGGAGGGGGTGGTCCTTAAGTCCACCAAACCCCAGCTGGCTCCTCCCCTTATAGCCCCTCTAGGTACTTCCTCTGGTCCACAATCACCCAAAACCTCAGGGAAACAAAGCCCAGAAGGAGGCCGAAGCCCAGGCTGTCATCCCAGGGAGGGAGGATACCTGAGACCCCCACAGAGTCTAAGCACTGCCCCGGAGGCTCTGCTTGCAGCTTCACTGGGCTGTGGGCTATCAGTGCTGCTTTCTGCAGTAACTGAAGTGGTCAGGAGGCAGGAGTGGGGCATTAGATTTACTCTCAGCTGGGCGTGGTGACTCACACCTGTAATCCCAGCACTTTGGGAGCCTGAAGCGGATGCATCACCTGAGGTCAGGAGTTTGAGAACAACTTGGCCAACATGGCAAAATGTCATCTCTGCTAAAAATACAAAAATTAGCCAGGTGTGGTGGCACACACCTGTAATCCCAGCTACTCAGGAGGTTGAGGCAGGAGGATCGCTTGAACCCAGGAGGTGGAGGTTGCAGTGAGCTGAGATCACACCACTGCACTCCAGCCTGGGCGAGAGCGAGACTCTAACAACAAAAAAAAGATTCACTCTCAGTCCCCTCCTGCCCCATCTCGCTGCCATCTGCATTCCTTCCCAACACACACATGTGCATGCACACGCACACATACACGCACACACATGCACACACAAGCACATGCGCCCATACACATGCACACATGGACACACACGTGTATTCACACACCCGTGCACACACATACATACACACTGACGCCAGCCAGCCTCTAGTGCCGCACAGTGTTCTCCTGGTGTCCTGAAATCCATGCATCCAGCTCACTTCCAGTTTCTGCAGGTAAATTATAGCGTCTCCCAGGATATGAGCAGCTTGTGCTAGTTTTGGCAGGAACTGAAAGCCAAATGGTGGTCCTGCCTCTAAGATACTGCAAGTCTAGAAAAGTTGATTCAAGGCTGGGTGCAGTGGCTCACACCTGTAATCCCAGCACTGGGGAGGCTGAGTTGGGTGGATCACTTGAGCTCAGGAGTTTGTGACCAACATATGTGTTGCCTGGGCAACATAGTGAAACCTGTCTCTACAAAAAAAAAAAAAAAAAAAAGCAAGCCATGGTGGTGCACACCTGTAGTCCCAGCTAATCAGGAGGCTGAAGTGGGAGGATCACCTGAGCCTGGGAGGTCGGGGCTGCAGTGAGCCATGATCACATCACTGCACTCCAGCCTGGACAACAGGGTAAGACCTTGCCTCAAAAAAAGAAAAAGTCGGTTCACTTTCAACCCTTGTGGAATTGATAAAGGAAGTTGGCACGTGAGGAGCTGAGGTCTTTCTCTGTTGCTGACTGAGTCCTTCCGAAAGCTGGACACAGACACTTTTACTCAGGAACACAGTTACCCGCTAGTCGTCTTTCTATTATCAACCATTGGCTGTCACGAGGAAATGCTCTCATAGCAAAATGCAAAGTAGACTTGTGTGGAATATTGGGCACTCCATGGTCTGTGTTTTGTGAACGTAATTTGTTCTTCCAGGAGTAACGTGAAAGGCTGTGGATGGCATCTGGAAGGGATGGGTGCAGACTCAGTGTGGCCGGGCATCTCTGCCTGAAGCAGCAGGCATGAAACTCGATCACTGGGAGGCACATGGTGCCCCTAGAGTGAGCCGAGATCGCACCACTGCACTCTAGCCTGGGCGAGAGCGAGATTCTGTCTAACAACAAAAAAGATTCATCTGGCCACCCCAAGGGTCTGCCCAGGTGGGCTGGGGCCACAGGACAGTCACCATTCCCCACCCACAGTCCCTGTGATAGAGAAATGGCATTTGTTCGTGCCTCTTTGTCCAGACCCTAAAAAGACCAGAGAGGTCGGGCTCAGGGCTGGAGGCCAGTGGCCAGTGTTCACAGGCCTCTGTGCCATGGCTCAGCTGTCCTGTCTCTTCTGATGCAGGCCCTTTATGAAAAGGCCTTCCTGGGTTTCAGAACGTGTCAGTGCTATGACAGTCCCTCCCCTGGGCCTTCTCAAAGCGGGTCTGCATGAGGCTACCATGCGCCCACACTCAGGATGAGTCCACAAAGCAGTTCAGCAGGGCTGGGGGCATCCGTTGCAAGGAAGCTGCCCCTGCAGGCCCCAGACAGGGCAACACAGTGAGGCTTTTCTGGAACATTCTCCTACTGGTGCAGTGATCTCAGTGAGGCCATCCAGATGCAGAACACAGCAGCTCTGTGGCCGACCCCTCTCAGGAACAGGGATATGAGTTGCACCAGAGGTCCACTCCCTTCCGGAACACAACAGGATCCAAGGTCCTGCATTCCTCCACCCCACACGGAGACGACAGACGTCCTTCTTCTTTCACCCGTGCCCCATTTCCCAGTTAGAAGCGCGGTCATGTCTCAGTGGCTGCGAGAATGATGTGTAAGTGACTGACAACTCCACCTATTCTTAGGTTCCTGCCACACCAGCAGCTCCGAATTTCACAATGTAATTTCAAGAAGTGTGAAAACTGCTTCTGCTAAATCTGGAAAAAGTTACAAGTGCCTTTTCTGAGGTTTCTGCCCATTTGAAAAGTAAGTTCTCTGGGGAGACAAAGACTTCTGCCTGAGGCCTTGAAGTTAGTTTAAGACAAGCTTGCTGGTGCTGACAGCCTGGGGCTCTCTCACCCCTCTGACTTCTGGAAGGGCAGTGTCCACGGCCCCTGGCCAGAGGTTGCACATAAAGCACAGGCCCACCTCCCGTTCCCTGGGGGCAGCCTGCTGGAGGGTGTGAGCACCACTGTACCGCTGTCTGGGCCCACGTAGTGTGCTGTGGATGTACACCCAGGAGGATGTATACTTGGCCGTCAGGGACACAGGCCCAAGCTACAATAGCTCAGGCTCCAGAAGGCAGATTTTTCTCCCATCATGAGAAGTCCAGAGAACAGTGGTTGCTTTGTTTCAGAGGCTCAGAGCAGCAGGACCAAAGTCCCTCTGGCTCCCTGGCCATTCCCTCCTGGTGCTATGATGGAAGTTGCTGCTCCAGCCATCACACCTTCCAGGCAAAAGGAGAAAGTAGTAGTGGTCAGAAGAGCATCTGCCCCTGGCAGCCCTTTACAGTCAGCCCTTTAAAGAGCCTTCCCTTTTAGGAGCTTTCCTGGAGTCTCCTTTTCCATCCCACTCCTCACCTCCCTCCCTGCTAAGGGGAAAAAAAAAAAGCCTCCTTGCGAGCTGGAGGGAATGCGGTCCTGGGCCACCCTGCCTGAGAGAGAGCCTGGGAAATGTCCTTTGCAGCTGAGGACACAGCCCCACCTCCACCCCACCCGGCAACAAAGGGACCAACGTGAAGAAAGAGAGGAAGGGCGGATTGGGGCAGGTTCCCGGAAATCTCTGTTGCAAAGTCCACGTCCCCTGCGGAAAGTGCCAGCATGGCCCACCTGTACCCTGGGGCTTGAAGGCTGCCCCTCATCCCAGCTGGGGCTCTCCATCACATGCCCGTGACTACTGCCCGGCGAGGGCTCCCTTGCCGCCCAGCTCCCTGGGGCCCTGGGCCCGCTGTGCCCCTGTCTGTGCTGGCCAAGGACGGGCAGCAGGGTCGAATATAGGATGTGACCCCTGCCCATGAAGGGTCAATCCAGGAGACAGAGCCAAGGTCACACAGAGGACAAAGCGTGTGGGACCCCTTGGCACCCCATCCTTCCCAGCAGCTCATCCTGTGAGTCTCCCACACCGCATGTACCCTTCCGAGGGCACAGGGTAAGCTGCCCGTGTCCACCTGACATGAGAGGCTGGCAGTGGGTCTGGGGCAGCAGGCCTCAGCAGAGGTCTCACATCACCAAGATTTGAGGCATCATCTGCCCAAGGTGTGTATCACCCATTTCCAAGGAGCATGTGGAGCCACAGCGCCCTGGCCGAATCCAGCTGCGGCCGGGCCTGTGCCCAGCGTGGTGTGGGCCCTTAAGAGCTGATCGCCCGGAGCCATGATCCGTCCACCTTGTGCACACTTGAACTTGTACTTCAATCTGTAAGCCCTGCCCCAGGGACCTGCCCCCGGCAGTGCATTTCACCGGAATCTCCTCCCACTTGGGTCCCACCTGCTCTCCCTGCTGACGCCCTGGGAGGGGCACTGAGGGGCTCCATGAAGGAGGCTGGGGAAGGGTGGGGCTTGGCTGGGGCCTGGCTGGGGCTGGCTGGACGCTCACCAGAGCGAGGCAGGAGCCAGGAATGAGCACCCCGCCTCTCTGAGAAGCCTTGAGGGCGCAGGAACCCATGATGTTCATGAGGCTCAGCCCATGTCAGGCCCCACAACAGTTCGCGAAGGGCTGTTTTCCATCCCTGCCCAGACTTCAGAACGCGAACTGCTCAGCCCCATGGGACCAACCTGGGTAGGGCGGACACGGGGCGCCCAGCCCCTCCTGCTGGGTGTGCCACCTGCTTCCTTGCAGCTGACCAGAGTCACTTCCAACCAGCCTGTCTCCCTATCACCCCTTCTCCCAGCTCCCCAGAGCTGTCCTGGTGACAGTGGGTGACCTCAGGCAGTGGTGCCCATGGGCTGGGTCCTCCCCATGCCTCACGGAGCCACATCGTCTTGGGCCCCAGTGCCAGAACCACCTTTCAG